ATCTGCTACCTATGCAAATATGGTAATTTTAAACTACTTGAAAGTGTATCTTGCCTTTCTCCTATCTAGATAATATATATGCTCATATATTTTCCTTTTATTTATCATACAAATGCGTAATAAGTATCTCGCTAGTAGTAAAATTGAATGAAAGTGTGTTGCTACATCACATCAAATTTTATATATATAAATGCGTCATACTGCTTAACAATATTAAGCACATATTACGCTTTCATTTAAATTTAATGTGCGCACACAAGTTAGAAATCGATGCACTTGTAAATGTAGCGAGCGAATTTTTCAAGGAACTCGAGGAAAAGGTTTACAATGGAACAATGGACCACTAATATCTAAAATTAAAACAGATGCTTATTTTTTCTACGACTCTGATACTCGACACGGCCGTAAAAATTTAATAAAAAGGAAAAAAAGCGTAGATCAGATGTTCTTTCCAGATAAGGTGGTAACCAAATGAGCCTAATTCAAAGAAAAAAAAAACACGCGTACAGATAAATTCTAAATTTTGCAGTGCTCAGAATTATATCCGATTAATCTCTTAGCATTTCGCGTAATCTTTTCCGAAATCTGGATTTTTTATATATTATTTCGTAATTTCATAATTTGTGTAATTTTCTATAATGTAGAGCCTAGTTGTGGGGTTTCAAATTTGATTGTGTTTACACGTTTCAATGTGCATTTCATATCGTAGTAAGCGTGTAACATATACACTTCACAGACACGAAACCGATATATTGACAAAACCATCTGTAAATCTTATAATGTACAATGATTTCTCAACTGTGATTCTATTTCTTATTGTGCCAAAATTCTTAATATACACATAAGCATATATATAAATATATATGTATAATATATATACACACACATCTATATATGTATTATAAAATTATATCTATACAAAGTGTTGTATAATATTTACAAATCTGTGAGCAAATGATAAATTATTTCTTCACTTAACCGTAAAGTATTATAAAATGGAAAAGTTTACAAACTATTACTATTATTGCGTGAGAAACGGATGGGGAAATATTTTACATAAAGCCAGTGAAATTTATTAACCATGTGACCTGATGTATTTGACTTACAGTGTTTTACAAGTTAGACTATAATCAGTGTCTAATATCTATATGTTAATATCTATATATGAATGTTTTCAATGTATTTGTGCCTGCCAGTTGTTGAATATTTGACAAGATGTTGGAGCGTAAAATGGAGTTATGCAATTAGTAATAAAATCATGAAAATATATGAGCCGAGTATATATGATATCAGATTTTTCATTGCCAACATTAACTACGACAAGAAACATGATTAGAGGCAAAAGCATAAATATGTTGAATAATTACTGAGACTATACAACTTCCAGGCATAATACGATCTACTCTGTACATTCTCTGTGATAATTTTATGTAATTTTTGAAAACATAATGCATAAGCTAAAGTGTATTTGTTTTACAGAATAAAAATACTCTGTGTCAAAAAATTCTATACATACATCGATCTTGTTCAAAAATAACATTTCAGGTTTCTCCAAGTCCATCGCTATTAGATGTATTAAATGCGCGTATTATCAAATATCCTATATAGTACTAAACACATATCAAATTGTACGGCTTACTAAAAACTTATTATTATTATCTCTTTCATTAAAATCTATAAAAAATAATGATAAAACATGTACTTGTCAACACGATTTTCTCAGACAAGACATATAAAATTTTCACAAATCGATTATATATAAACATTTTAAAAATGTATTACTGATTTGCGGTAACGAGGCCAGCGGGACCTAAACCCAATTTCGCACCGGTTATCTTCATCCTTAGAGGCTGAAACCCAAGTTCAGCCTTGGGAATTCCATATTCTTGCAATTTACTCTCATAAACTGCTAACAAATCGTCATGTGCTTTACATACTTTCGCTAATTCATATTGTAGGTCTTGTATCGCAGTATTTTTTCTATTGAGCATATCCTACAAAGAAATGTTATTATCGTAGTCGTATTTAATTCATATAATTGTGATAAGATTGTGTTTAATGTATACCTCTAATTTTTTATTCATATTAACCACCGCCGCAGGATCCAATTGAGCAGCAGCTAACACTTCGCTAATCTGCGCTTCACGTTGCTCCAGTAAATCCGATAACTTTTCTAATTTTTTTTCTAAGAGTACATTCTTTAAACCCGTTTTTTGTTGCAGTTCAAATATAGCCGACACAAATCTAGAATGTAACTCGTCTCTCTCGGATTGGCACTAAATAAAATATATTAGAAAGATATATGTAGGTTTTGAAAATGTTATATGTATTGTATGTTTAAATATCTTACTTTTTCAAAACGTAGCTCAAGAACTTCATTTTCCCATTTTAAATTTTCTAAATCCTTCATCACTGCGGATAATCTTCGTTTTGTGTTCTGTAATAATTATTAATTCAGTTTTTCATAACGCTATTATATAATGATGTGTTGTAAATACCAACAACTAAGCATTGCTTGTCTTTCTCGTAATTTGCAAGTTGACGATTAAGTTCGGTAGTCGTTTCCTGCAAAGCTTTCAAGTCAATCAAATATTTTTTATTTTCTGTTGTTAATTCCCGTACTTGCTTCTTCATACGTTCCTCATTGTTTCTCATCATTTCCATTTGTTCCTATTAAAAGATATGCTACGTTAATTGAAAAATTGTCGATTATTTTCCGTGACTCTATAATTGTAAAATTTATAATAACGATAAATTTTACCTTCATACTCTTAATTAACGATAAATTATTCAAAGTGATATCATTGTAATAATTTTTCATTTCAGTAAATGCATTCTCGTGATTCTTTATCAGATTCGCGATTTGCGTGTTCTTCCTCTCCTCCACTTCAGTTATCTCCATGCGATGCTTCAATATTAAGGACTCATATTGGCTTGTTAATTTTTGTTCGTACTTTTGCTCCAATTCTATTGCTTCAGACTCAAATTTTTTTATCATATTGTTCATTTCCTCTGAATTATGCTGCATTTTGTATGTATAAAAATGAGCGATTTTTTTTCTCAATTACAATTTAATAAATATTTACATATAAGGAAAGATAGAGAGAGAGAGGGGGGGAGAAAGAGGGCGAGGGATTGTGCGCCTTACCAATTTTAATGCGCGAATTTCGTTCATGTACGCCAATTCCTGCTCTTTCTGTATTTTTTTAAGCTCGGTTTTATCTTTAATAAGCTCATTTTCTTGCACAATATGATCGTCTTGTGCCAGTTTAAGAGCAACCAGATGCTCTGCTTTGGTTTCAGATAAATTAGTCTGATGTTCATACATTAAGTGCTTCACTTTCTGTTTGTATAATTTGAGTTCAGCTTCGTGATTTTCTACCAATTCCTCTTTCTCACGTTCTTTATTTCTAAAGAATTTTAAACGCATTTACGTTTATTGGTGATTCAAATGATCATTTATTATCATTAAAGTACCTGACTACAGCACGTGCTTCATCCAATTGATGTCTCGTAATTTCCCAAAAAGTTCGTAGTTTGTCCCTTTCTAGTTGAAAAAAGTTTCTTTCCTCCCGTTCCCGTTCCATCTCTTCCAATATCTTATGGGCATATATTTCTAATTGTTCCCTATTCATTTTTGTTGTATCTACCCCATCGACATTATCTGTCGCTTTCCCTTTTGCTTTCTTGGGACCCTTTTTATCAATTTTAAACAATTAACACACAGTTAAGAAATATATTAATTTAGAGAGAGATAAGAATGAGATAAGATAAGAGAACAGAATGGATAGAGAAGAATCATATATAGAATTATATAAAAATGCTTGTAGTAAAAAAGTATATATTAATAAAATATTGATACAAATAATGATAATCTATTGTTGTAAAAAAAAAACTTATAATAGGTTATATAATAATTAAGATTAATTAACTTACCATTTTTATTGGTATCAAAAAAGATGTAAAAAGGTTTATATAATATACTAATCTGTTTAAAGAATATAAAAAAAAGTAATGAATAATAATGGTAATGATATCACTACAAAATCTATAGTCTCACATCAGCTGACTTATGTCTGCAGAAATCAGTCTGCTTGACATTTACAGTGGCACTGTTTTGTAAGAACGTTGCTAAGTAACCGTGTCTTGTATTCTTGCATGGTGGAAATAACTTCCACCATGTATTCTTGTTCCTTCCTAAATATTTATACAAGGTGTCCCGTAAGTTTTTACCAATCGCTGTTGTGTAGATAGAGCGGACTAAACTGAATCGAAAAGTCCTCTACCATTTTGCAATTTTCGCAATGCGAAAATTAACGAGATATTAATTATTAAAAATCGCTGAATATTGACTTTCAATAATTTTTTACTCAAGTACTATCAACTTTACAGAAAAACGGCGAGAGACAAAAATTGTTGATTTTCTTTTTATAAAGTTCTAAGAATTTTTTTCAGAATTTTTTAATACCGTATTTTCTCATGTTGGTAAAAATAAGAAAATGCAGTACTAAAAAGTTGACAGAAAACTCTGAAAAAATTCTTAGAGTTCTATGAGAAGAAAATAAATGATTTTTGTCTCTTGCAGTTTTCTGTAAAATTGATATTTTAATTGTAGTATTTGAGTAAAAAATTATTGAAGATCCATATTCGATAATTTTTAGTATCTTGTTAACTATTGCGAAAATTGCAAAATGGTAGAGGACTTTTCGACTCAATTTATTTCACTCTACACAAAAGCGATTGGCAAAAACTTACGAGACACCCTGTATATGCAGATTTCATGCGACTTTGGATTCCATGTTCTTTCAAATATGAAATATTTGTAAAGTATATATTATAACACGATATGAGACATAATATATGTCTATATCTGGCATCTATTTTGTTATCTATTTAATTTATCACAAAATTTTATTTTTATCGTAAATAATACGAAATAGTATGGGTATACATACGCATTTTTCATTGTATATTAAAACGATATTTTATTTAAATTTGTTTGGCATGCTTCCACAATACATTGCAACAGAAATAAGCTATTCGCTTGTATAAGGATACGCTTGTGGTAATATTAAATTACTCGATAAATTATAAATAACATATTCAAAGATTTATTAATTGTCACATTTCAAATAGAAAATAAATATATCACGATTATTGTTTTCTAAAATGTGTGTACGCATTTTTTAATAATATCAATATGATTATCACTTATTGCATCAATATTTCAATCATATTTTTCATTCATTCACATTACACATATTTCTCAAAAACAAGATTTAATGTTTGACACATCTGCTTCGACAACTTCCAGTATGTATTGCATTATATCACTGACGGAAGCGTATATTTTTTTTATTACAAATCGTGATTTCACTGGAGCAGTATAAAAAATTCTTAATTTATGCAACTGTCAAAGCGCATAAATAATGTTCCATAAAAAAAGTTGTATTAATATTTAATTAAAAATTCGTTTCAAAAGATTCGCCTTGTAACATGCAATGCATTAACAACAAAATTACTAATATTAACAGTGCGAAAGTATTTACCGCTACATAATGATTTTATTCGATTATAAATTTACGAAGAGAAAAAATGTGCAAGTGTAATAACGATTGCCATATTACTTATATACATAAAAACCTGTGTGCACATTTGTAGAAAAACTTTACAATATAAATTATGAGGTAGAACTAGTCTATGCGGCATGTAACAAACATCGGAAGGAGAGGCTATCCTTAATCCTTTTGGATTTGGTCCATTATAGATTCTATCTTTGCCGAGTTGTGTTAGATTGTGCTCGTAATCAAACAATTATAGCAAAATAACTACCCTCCGACCAAAATTAAAAATATTTTAACACAATTATTTGTTCCTACATTAAAATAGTAATAAATTATACAATGACACTTGACAAATATACCCTTAATCCTACTACGTAAATATCAAGACTTTCCATATTAATATAAATGATTACTCGATAAATTGTAGATTCATGAATAATTGAAAAAAATGTAACAAAAATAAATATGATTATGTCGAATAATCTTGTTCACTCGAGAAATGTTCTGCGAAGTTGGTCATATGGAATGCTATATGTTATATGACTATTTCCTCATCGTTTAGCTCGATTCGCCATTAAATTGCAATAGACATCCCACCGCGCCGAAATAACCCTGAAATCAAAATATAATATCCTATGATATCTGAATAACATTTTAAAATATGAACTTTCAGTTAAGTTTTTACTTCATGTTCCAAAAACAAGGCTTTCAAAGTTCCTTTAGACCAATAATCCATAGCATAGGCCAACAACTTCATTGATATGGGATTTACCCTGAGAAAATTTCCTACAAATACAACCTAAAAACGAAAATTGTTATGCATGATCACTTTATAATATTATATATAACACATTATATATTTTTATTACCCTTTCAATTTTTTCATTAACAGCACACATACGGGCGATAGAACCGATATTATTTGTGATAGTAACAAGAGTTGCACGCGCCAGATCTTCCTTCGTGACAGTATTTCTACGATCTTTGGAATTCATTTGTCCAAAACTAAAAATAATAAAAAAAAGGGATACAAAATAAGAATCAAAATAAAGAAATTACATCTTAGAATAGGAATTAATAACTGTTTTACAATTGTACATGCTCGCAATTGTACCTGCTCGCAACTAAATCTCCAGGAAGACCGAAAGGACCATAATCACCACCGTATATATCTTTAACCAATTTATCCACTCTTGTATTATCGCCTCCTGTTGCTAATTCTATTGCTTCTTCAAAGGTATTACATCCAGTAAGAAGACAACATAATCCCAAGAATGTACCGCCACCTAAGCTATAATTAAGAATGTTATTACTGATATTACTTAATAATAAATATCTTAAAACTACAAAATACAATATACACGCAATTTACCTTGTCCCAGATATTCTTTTATAATTTTCTGGTCCATATACAGCTAGTATGCTTACTCCGGAGCCTATATTAACGAGCTGCAGAAAATAATCAATCAATAATTCCACCAATTAAAAAATATTTTTATATACTCTTACCAAGAATGGATATGGTTCAGAAAAGTCATAGGGTACTTTTTGGCATTTGCTGTCATCGGTAGGATTCGACCAATAATAGCATTCATGTGGATTCGTGGTCTCTATGTAGAGCATCCCGCGTATTAAACTATCTAATTCATCAAATTTGGTCAAATTCATGTTTACTTCCTGCCAAAGATATTTCATTATTTTAATAATTATCATGTTGCAATTACAATAAGGCAAAGACAAAGATAGATAATTTTCCAAACCTTTTTAAAATTATCTTCAAATTTAAAAGCACCGCCCCCAGTGGCACAAACAGTAGTCACAAGATTTGCCATACCTTTTGATTTTGCTAATGCCAAAAAATTTCCCATTTCACTTGTGGGAAATCTAATAAAATGTAAGGTTCCTCGTCTGCCTCGAATGCAGACGTTATCCATCTGAAACAATCATCGAAATAATTATCAACAGGTTTATATAATTAATAAATTATAGAAAGTACAAGTTAAATATTTAATAATGTTTACTTGTAAATGCGTATCACGATGGCCAGTTTTCCCATATGCCGAATTTTTAGTGAGATATCGACGAATATTTTTTAATGTCTCAACTTCTGCGTCCGCTTCATCTCTCGTTATATCCTTTGGCTCAAAGTACACTAATTTGCTTAATGTACCACCTATATCCATTCCAAACCAAGGCATTGCTGCAACAATAATATTACGATTAGTATTTTACGATTAGTAGCTTGTAATTTGTGCAAAAATATGTTAAAAATACATGTTTATAAAAAAAATGCAATGATCACTCAAAATTAAAAAAAAGCACAATTTTGCAAAAATAGTGAGATTAAATTTTTAGAAATGTGATTATTAATAATGGCATGTCATGCAGAAAATTGTGGTAACAAAATATAAAAATATATATACAGTAAGAGAGAATTTATCTAATAACAAGTATTCTTTTAGATGACAATCAAACAAATTAAAGATAACATTCTTGTCGCAAGCATCATCTACTTTGTTATGAATATTATTTAGCTTAACAAAATTCAACATTTGATACTTTTTACAGAAAATTAAGCAGTGATGTTCAAACCGATAAGCATAGATATCCATGCGATAAAATAATTATCGTATATAACTCTTCATAGTGTTAGATACAGTATAAAGACGCAGTATTCCCAATGTATATAATCATTCAAGTATAATATTCATAATATTAGACATGGTATAGATATAGACAATAATAATAGACACAGTATTAGTATTTCCAGTTTATATTGTATGTATATAGTCTTTTCCAGATATAATATTCACAGTTTCATTAGTTTCGACTGCTATTCTTAACTAAAAGTTGATAATAAAATGAACTAATAAACTGATAACAATTAATAGTCAGCCTTTCATTAAAATAAATTTGAATAAAGATTAATATTATCGATATAATTATATTTGCAAATAGTTATATAATATAAAGCATTGAAAATACTGCAGGTATATACAGTAAATATTGTATCGCATGGACACTACACTCGTCAGTTTGAATTGATTTAGATCATTGCTTAGTTATTTACATTATATAGTCAATCATTTCATTTTTATACGCAAAAAATTGAAGAAATTATAATCATGACGTAAGGTATAAAATACGAAACACATTTGCAAACGATGCAGCAAACAACGTATACGATAAAAAGTATAGTATAATAAAAAGTAAAAAATTGGCAATCTAAGCACACATACAATCCACTGACTCACAAGGAGATGAATGATTCCTTGCTTCTTTGGCCATGGTATTGGCAGCAGAATATCCGTTAGACTGCATGTCTTTTGGAGTTAAATTGTTCTTACGGCTATGCGGACTCATTGCTCAGAATAGAATAATTCACTGCAGATCCCTCTGTTATGATAAATAATGTATTCGCTGAAAAAGATACATACATTTAAAAACAATTTTAAACGAAATTTCGAACGAAATAATATCTTATGCGTCTATCTTTATGACGTTATGTTGAAAACATTATGCAAATACAATTCATAAGATTTCTCTTAGTAATCAATAATGTTCTTTTTCATAATCCAAATGTGGAGAACATTTAAAACTTTAAACCGTTTACATGCAAAGAATTATTTTCAAACTAAAAGTCAAAGATCATCTTTTTCATTTACGCACACAATACGTGAAATACACGTGACGCGAAACGCAAGAATACATTTACATAAGTAACGCGTGTTCACACAAGTTCATGATATATGCACATTTTTATCCATCTTTTTAAATCGTTTTATTATAATCAGCTTGTACTATATACACTTATTAAGATTGAATTAAATACAAATTTAACTTGTTTTGTTTATCGTTAGTCATCTGTTACTGTTTGTTATAAGAATATTGAAATTTTGTTGAAAAATATTTTGTGCAAATTTGTATGTATCAAGCACTAAGATTCGCTTTGACTGAAAATAAGAATCTTTTTCTTATTAATTTGCAATTCTACGTAACAATTCGTATCTTCTTGAAACAAAATCTCGAGAGTAATAATTATAAATAATGCCTCATCGAACAATATATAAATACAGTTTCTGTTGAAACATTGCAATATCAAAGCAACAAGTAGATTGGCCGTGCTGATTGAACGTTTGGAATTAAATTTTGATTACACGCGCGAGTATGAAAGCACTCGGCTTCTAAATATTCATTAGCTATATTCAAACGATAAGCATAAACGCGCGATATCGTTACGTAAACGCATATGATAAATAATTAATTATCCAAGCGATCAATCTCCTGTTTCTATCATGACATTGCTCTCATTTTGCAACTCGCGCAAATTACTCTTAACGTTCGCCGACTTATTATTCGCCAACAGCATCTTTCAACACGCCGATATTCTCAACTCGTTGCGACAAGCATCTTCAAAAGAACATTGTAATGCACCAACTAGGTATTTTATACGATGCGTCGTCGTCGCCCCGACGTCAAACGTCACGTCGAACGTCACGTCGAACGTCACATTGAACGTCACGCCGAGCCGAGAAATCGCGTTTAGCGACGAGAACTCGCCACGAGGAGCGATCGAACGACGGTGGCGTGATGTCTCACGTCAGGCCGGCGTGACACTTACTCATCAGATTTGCGCGAAAGCATCGGGAACGGCACAAGTAATACACACCACGACCTGGACGCTCCCTTCCGTTCCGTTCACACCGTCCGACTGACCACGACTGATCACGACCTGCGACTTGCGAGTCGACCGCGATGAGCGGAGTGCACGATTGCACTGACTACAGCACCTCGGTGCTGTATAAATAATACCCCAGCAATATAACTGTACAATGAACGAGACGTCGACGGAAATGCTACGATGAGGAAACGCGGCGTTCGTCACACGTATAGCAAATTCGATTTTGCCGAGCGCGCACCATCTCGATGAACACTGTAAAGGCTGCCATGCATGAAATAATTTTGAGTTGGATAAAAATGTAACATGTGATCTTGCCTGAACTAACTTGCCCGATAAAATAAAGTTTTTAATCCGCTAACGTGATGTCTTACTAATCTTTAATCGCTTGTATACGACATTTATATGTCTTTTGTGTCATGGCGCAGACTCTTGATGTGCACGCACTTCTCAATGCGCGATTAAATTCTCCTAAATTCACTATTAAGGAACGTCCGTTAACTCGAGTTTCGTTTTCTTCTGTGAGTGTGTTCTGTGGGGCATCTTTCTTATTACCTGACATCACGGTTGCTTCGGACCGTCGAAAAAATATCACGTGCCATGGCAAAATTGTAGGAACAACGCGGCGGCGAACAGCTGATCGCCCGTTGACTCTTTCCTTCCTTTTCTAAAATGGACATCCGTCCTTGTTAACGTTCTCGTGCAGTTTCCTTCCTCTTTGACCAGTTCAGGGTGTTTACTGTCTGAAAAACCTAGTATGTAATTTTCAGGGAATTTCTTTTTTCCCTTGAAAATCAAGGAATTTCATGGAACTGTATACCCCAGGAAAAGAGGATACAACTTTTTTTACGACCGTTCGGAGATCATTGTATTATTCCTACATTTTTTTCTGTATTTTTTTTCTTCACGGAAATTGAAAATTATCATAACGACACTCAAGAAAAAATGGACGCATCAAAGTAAAGAAAATCCTTATTCATATCGTTACGAAATATTGCCGCTGTCAGTTATGCTGCTTTAGTCATTTAAAAACTAATTCAGAGAGATGGATCCTCGAACGGTCGCAAAAAACAATCAAAGTTATATCTTCCTTTTAAAATTTTACTCTTTCTGAGAACATTGTTTTTCTTTATCATTTTTTTTCTTAATAATACAAAAAGTTGACGCTTAACATTTGCGTGTGACACGCACATTCGTGTATAATATTCATGTACGTTCTTACCGTAATTTTTTGCAAAAAAATCGGATTTAAAAAATATTCCTTTTTTTCATTTATAAATCTCTTTTAAAACATGTTCTCATTCTTACATTATTCATTAACGCTTGTTATTCATAATTTTCTTACGGAAATTAAAAAAGTGTTTAAACTACACGCAACATTAGTTTTTTATTATTATCCAAAGTATGTATAACGTTTATGTGATAAAAGTACTTTACGAATCAAGAAAAATTATTCTTCCAAGTTATAATTAAATATTTCTCTCTCATCGATTTTTTTATTCTACTGACAATTTTTTTTTATATAATTGTCTATACCTACCACGTACCGATTTCTGGACCGTGTTCTTATCGCTTTATATCACATCAATATCATTTTGTTTTTCTGTCACTGCGACACGTACACATTTCATTTCTGTGAGATTCTGTGAGATAAGCGATTTAATGTCTGTTGATTTTACCATCCTTCGTCGCAAATCATTTCCTGTTTTACGTAATCTTGTTGCAAAAGATCGTTCACATTAGCAATTTGCTACTCGAGTTTCAAGCTAATCGGTTTTCAAGCGATATAAACATAAATTGCTCAACCGTCACATTAGTGAATCGTGATACCGTACTTCATTTAAATATTCTATACTTTCTCGCACTCTCTCTACCACCCCTCCCCTTGTTTTGTGACAAAGTAATAAATCGCAGACTTTGAAAGTGCCTAGACTTTGAACGGTAAGAAAAACGTTATAAAAAGATGTGAGACAAGCAAAAACGTGTTTAAGATAATTTTTCGTTGGAAAAAAGTTCTGCAAATTTATAACAACCACGACTCGTAGCATTAATTCTCGATGTTAATATCATTGCGGATGAAACCGTAAAAATTATCATGACACGTTCACGTTTGTGATCGTTCATACGAAGATAATAGTATACTCAAAGACACAAATAACAGAATCCAATTAGACAAAAGATAATCGTATGTTTACGTAAGATTTAATTAAAATGTTATGCTTGTTATTTCCTCCCAAAATAGATTAACGTTAATCTCAGTTTAACTTATTCTTCACCTTTTTCTAACTTTTAAAACTAGAGAAAAAAATGAAAAATAAGTTAATGAGAACCGAGATAGTTAATATACATTGGCGGAAACGAAGCATTAATTTAACGATTGTCACAAAAAGCAAGTTATGTAAAATATACTTCAATTTACTAAATTTATTCATTAATTCTCTTCGGAAATATTTTTTTTCTTATCCCCATACATTCTTATCAATTCAGAAAAGGTCGATATAAACTAAAAGTAACATAACATCAATGTTATAATCATTAAGTGTCAAATTTCAGTTAATCAGTAATTATAATTCTCTCAATAACTGACAGAATTATTTAAAATAATATTTCTAACTATACAGGATGTATTTTGAATAAGTGTCAAATATTTTAGACACATATATACAGGGTGTCTCTTAAATAAACGTATACTTTAATCCTGGAAAAGGATTTTCGAATCTGTGAAGGAGAAAGAAGTGTATTTGTTATACAAAAATTATACGATTTAGTCGGTAATACAGACTGCTTTAGGATCCCCTTAAGGGGATCCTAAAGCAGTCTGTATTACCGACTAAATCGTATAATTTTTGTATAACAAATACACTTCTTTCTCCTTCACAGATTCGAAAATCCTTTTCCAGGATTAAAGTATACGCATTAATACGTGTTTGTGAGGTAGAGTTTATGCCGAGAACGACTAAAAATTTCGAAATTGATATATTTTTTACCATTTCTTAGTGTAACATGGCGTCTCAAGCTGTCAAGTCGTGACAATATTTGCTTAATACGAAAGTTTTCCAACCTGTACTTACGAAATAGAAATCCACAAACACACACACACACACACACACACGCGTAATTTGCACGAACAAATAATGTCGAGTTCTTAAAATTAAATTTAGGGCGGAATCCATAGACGTTGCTCAAGATTCGAGATGGTCTTAAGCTAGTGCATAAACCAAT